CCGTCGCGCAGCCCGCTCCGTCCGTCCGTCTCGTCCGTCAACAGTTGGGCACAAATCTAAACGGCTCGACGTACCGCGTCACGATATCGGAGCGTTGGGGGGGTAATCCACAAAACGAGTTGGGTATTCAAAGCTCGGCGGTCATAGGTCAAAGTCAAGCAGGTGTCAAAAGAAGGCGCGGAACAATTCCCCCTTAAGCTGAAGGTTATAGGGAGGAAATGCAGATTGCCCGGCAACAAATCTAAACGGGCTTCGACCTAGGCTTGTGATAGATCGTGTAGATAGCCATCCACTAGATAGAAACAGCCTCCTTTCAGAAATTGACAGTCATCAAACAGAGTATAAAGCAGAGCATTGGGGGAAAGACGCAGATATATCCGACATTTTTCTGAGGACGTGCCTAACGGACGTATGTGAAAGGAACCTTTTTGTAAATCAGCAAAACGTGACCTACCATTTATTATATATAACTTTATTGAACAGGACATGAAATGTATCTCTTTCCGACTGATGTGCAAAGACGTAAGATGATCTTGAAACCTTTTTGAACCCTACATAAAGAGTTGGTTAAAAACATGGATTCCTGAACTGGCCTCAATGTCTGTCAGCAGTGTCTCTCATATGCATAGACACATCATTAACTCTGGATAAGCCACATTGTCCATCGATAGGCGAAACAAGGCTACAGCCATCACGATTACTGGCGCAACACGTCCTTGGATCGAATCGAAACCATCAGATTTTTATTTTAGCTTTACATATATATTATTACTGGTATTTTAGCTCATCTCGACATAGTCAGATGCAGCTTGTAAATCGATATCGGAATGAGTACGGCTGCGTCCGCCGTAGCGTGCGTCAACAGTTGGGCACAAACGTCTTGAACGGCTTGACGTGACGGATTAGAAAGTCGGGACGTAGGGGTAATCGAAAACGAGTGTGGAATGTTGAAGCTGGTGGGTCAAAGGTCAAAGGTCAAGAGGTTGTAAACGAAGGGGACTGATTCCCTCCTTAACTTAAGTATAGGCGAGGATAATGCTAGAATTTGCGCTTCAAAACGAACAAACACAAGATCTAAACCCGGCTCGACCTAGGCTCGCTGATAGTATTAGTCTATAATTCATATGGTTAGGACACAAGGCCATCACTGTGCCGAAAATTGAGGTCATAAAGGAAACTACAAATTCGGTCACGGCAAACAGGAGCAGATTTCTCCGATATTTATAGACATGGAGTCTGAGAGCGATTGGAAAACTTTCTTGG